ACAAGAAAAGGTTTTTAAAACTAATTAAGTGCAATGAAGAACTATTGGAGAGCATGAAGAGTCTAATAACCGGAAGTAACAATACGAATAAAAATAAATATGGGTCATAAAATTTAGTTTTGAATTATTCAAATTATTTAGCAAGAACTGTTATGACTACCTTATTTACTTCATCAACTTGCGATTAACTTTTATAAATGACTTAATGTATTCTTTATTTAATTCCACCTATATATGTATATCAACTTGTATATTTTAATTCAAGCAATATTGGTATAATCTTCTTTTATCTGTAAGTGGTATTCACTTTCACTTGAAAATATATATCAAAGTATGTTACCATCATGGATAAATAAGTATAATTGTTGCCATATAAATTTCTTCGGCATTGCTATCATAATTTAAAATACATTATTACTATTAGAGAAAGGACAATTACAGGGTTGGCCAAAACTATGTCAAAGATAGGTAAACCATTACAAAACTATGAGGAAAAGAACATAAATCGCAGATGCGCAAAGAGCCCTTAGTTTTATTGCAGTTCAAAAATAACTAAAACGTATAAAAAAAGTCAATATTTTTTGCTAATATATTAAAACAATTCTGTGAAAGTTAAGCGTATTTATTAATCAGGCATTAAGGGCACAACTAGTGTAACCGCCTTAGAAAAATGTGATTTTTGGTTTATATTAAAAAATGACTTTAGCGAACATTTCAAATTTTAGGAATATATTTATACATGTTTTAAGAATACATAGTAAAATTTTTGAAAAAAAAAATTAAATATTTTTTAAGTTATCGTCAATCTCCAACGGCGCGACAAAAAAAGGCCCTTCACTGCTGCAGTCCAGCCTTCTACGTGGATGAAATTTAAAAAAAAAAAATCTCGTTAAACTAGATAATATTGTCTGTAAAATGAACTACGGCAAAGAAAAAAATCAAAAATTGACAAAATGACGGCGTTTTTTTTTAAAAAGGCGAATTTTACCCAAAATTTTGGGCGTTTTTGGACTGCCAAAATTTGATTTTTGATCCGATCAAAAAATCGATAGTTTATTTTACGGAGAACTATATATAGAACATTTAAAAAAAATTGATAGTGATCGGATCATTTGTTTTTGAGTAATCGTTGCAGCAAATTCGGAAAATGCTGTTTCGAGAAAAACGCGTTTAAAGATTAAATGACGTTATACTATATACTATATATATACTCTTTAAGTGGCTATGACTCAAAAACTATTTAAGATATAGATTTAAAATTTTAGTATGTTATTTTTAAATGTATAACTTATCGAAATATGGAAAAATTGAAAATTCGATTTTTTGAAAATTTCACACTAGTTGTGCCCTTTAAGTGATACCATAGTAAACAGAAAAAATATCAATTTGATATTTGTTTACTGCTTTAGATATAATGTGTTGAGATAGCTCCATTTACATTATTTTGTATGTGTTTGCATTTGAGATAATTAGGTTTTGTTCTTATTACATTATTGTCATTAAATTATATGGAATCATCTCATGCAGCGAATAAATGCAATGGAGAAAGGTCAGTGCAACACAGTAGCAACTTGGGAAGGTCCAAATGCTGGTGTGCGAAGCCGGAAAACTCCGCCTGGGACAGCAGTTACACCACTTCCTTTGCAAAGTAGCGCTGCTTCCACAAAAAACAACTGTTCCACTAATTCAAATGCTACCCAAGGACCTCCGGTGCCTCACAGGTACCCAATCTCATATAGATCCAAATATTACTTTTAATAAGATAATTAGTTATTAGTGGCCTTAAGGCAAGTTACTTCTCTTTCCGAAAGTTAATTATTATGTATCTATTATTTTAGGGGTCCCACAAGGCGTCAAAGTATGCTTAGCGTGGCTTGGACCGACACCGATACCGGGCTGGAGAAAGTGATGTGGCGGGAAATAGATAAAATGTCCCGCATAGTTTTCCCCGCATTATTCTTACTATTCGTGATCGTCTATTGGCCTGTGCTTTTGCTAAAAACGGCAGCATCGTGAGACAGGGGTCCCAGTGGCGTTCCGTCCTACGAGGACGACTTTGAAATGCCGGACGTCACTGCGGATCATCTTGTTGAAGACGTGGTTAATGATTCAGTATGTAGGTAGCAAGGTTGGATGATAGAAATAATAATTATTTTTGAGAATAATTGTTGGAAGTTTTTTTGTTTCTGTGCGTGGTTTCGGGGGCAAAAGTTAATGTGCGTAAATAAAATGGGTTTACATTGTGCATTTGTTCAATTATTACATATGCAATGACCTTTTCATTACTAGAGTGTTTTCCTCAGGAGTGACACTGCTGTACGGGTCAGTCAGACGCCCAGGTACTTTTTACACATATTAAATGATTTTTCAATCATTATCAATGGGCGACACTCGTACGCTCTTAGCGAAGGCGTTAGGAAAATTCTTGTTACATCAGACTAAAAGTCACTAAAATATTATTAACAATTTATATTTTAGTAATGAAGCTGACATACATATTGGCATTCGTACAATGATTCTCTAGAAAGGTATAACAATTTTTATTCATATAGGTATAATTTGTACGCAAAGTTAATTTCTAGGTTGTGAGCTAAAATTAATTTGCTCTATATCATGAGCTTTCATGCTAGTTCAACAAATAGTATTTTTTAAATACTTATTATTCTGATCAACTTTGTTCTAAAATTATATGTGATCACAGAATATATTCTGAAGATATAAGTATGTTCTATTTTGGAGAAATTTGTGACGATCTGACTGTTTTATGCAAATACAAGCAGGACAGTTCATTTTGTTACTTACAAGAACCATTGCATTATACATCGTTTGTACAGAAAATAGGTCGATTCTTAAAAAAAAATTGTCAAAAGTAGAACCACAATTATTTTTCTATACTTCGCCAATATCTCCAACAAATATAATATCAGAATATGCTGAACATTGCACATTTTAATACATATTTTTATTTCATTGCGTCTTTCTAAGAATAGCTTCCCAGAACCATGGTAGTAAAACAAGTTTTAAAATATCATAATAGGTATACTTGATTTTTTAAATGTCTTAGAAATAGTAAAATAAATTTCCCGAAAGCTGAATTAACCAAACGATAAAAAAAGGTTGTATCAATAAGGTCTTCAAGATTCGCGTGTACAAACTGCCTTTAATGTAATTTAACAGATTAAATAGTTGTAATTATTTAAATAGTAAATTTTTGTGCCTGGATTTTACACATTTTTTGTTATTTTTTGTAAATAATAATTGTATAATAATAATAATAATGATAATATGCATTTGAGAAAACTTCAATATTTTAAGATGATAAATGATTTAGAAAGTTGCATGTACATTGAATCCTTTATGGGCATAACTTAACAAATTATTAGAATAACATTTAGCAAATTTGAAATTTATATAAAATTAGTTAATACTTAATTAATAATGAAGACACACTTTTAAGTAAATAATCCATTTTTAAATTCGTTAATTCGCTAAAGCCTATGCAAAGATATGTCGTGGGGTCGCACGATTTTCGATGTTGATTTTTGGGCAATGCTTTGGAATTCGCTTTTTGCTTGATATTTTTATCGTGGCATTTTTTCATTTATTGCATATTAAATAAAATATTGATAATATTTGCAATGTTGGCTCGAAGACTATATTTTTACATATTGAATAGAATGATCTGTGTATAACATAATAATTCTATCTACTAAGCCTTTTTAGTGCCTATAAATTATTGATAGGTAAAATATGATGTACATATTATAATGCCTAATATTGAATAAGTATTAGTAAGAAAATCTCATATTATTAGGTAGAAACTTTTAATCAACAGCTTGGGTTAATAAGTAGTTATTTTATTTAATATCTAATGCTGACTTTAGTATATCTGTGATCTTGTACAACCAAATATATTTATTTGCTTTTTGATGTAGATAGATAAAATGAACAAATATAATTGAGCAAGTGATACTTTGGGTTTCTTGCGAACATAATAAGTATTGATGTAAATAAGATATTAGTATATTATTGTCAATTTTTTTTTCTCAGCTAAGATCGCTTAAACGTTTCTTAAACATCTAAACAGCCTGTAATTTTCTGTTTTACTTTTATAGATCTATACAAATGAAACAGGATTTCTTTTGATATATATATATATATATATATATATATATATATATATATATATATATATATATATAATTACAAATAAAACCACTACCAATTATGCAATTTTCATAATTTCTTATTTTACGTTAGTACAGCCGTTATTGACAATATTATGTATACCGTGTCTTACAAGGAATATGACAATATTGTGCAAATAGATTGATTTATTATATAGCATTGAATTTTGAATGCAAAACAACAAATTTATTTAGTGTAAAGTTTTAAAATAGTATAATTTTTGAAATAAAGAAAATGTTTCTTTTTCGCGCATTGTAAATAATATATTATAAAGAATATTTTCAATTACTTCTATACCTAAATATTAAAACACTCATTACTATTGAAATGTTTCACTGTTAAAATAAAGATCAAATACATAATGCCATTCCAATCTATTTTCATAAATATTTAACATCAAGCATAGTTTCAATGTATAAAGTATATAGAAATAGTTAAATAATTGATGAAAATTATTAAAAATTGTGCTGCTATTTTGAAATGCACAATAAAGTAGTATTACAAAAATAAGTTATATATCATTCAGAATATGTATTCAGTCATATATTTTAATAAGATGAAGCTTTCCACAATTAATCTAAATAAAAATAATGTAATAAAATTATCTAGCGTTATTTTTGTTGCACGTTTGCATAATTTATATCATACATCTTCATAAAAGTTTATCATTTAAGTTTCGCTCACTCATTTTATTCAGTTATCAAATTGTAGTAATCCTAAATCCAGTAATCTTGAACTTAAATTAATCAACATTTAAGAATATAATTATTTATATTAAAATAAGAAAATCATTATTTATTAATTGTGTTTATTAATATAATTTATAATTTTACAGATAAAAGATCAGTAATTTCTGTTTCACTATCATCATGATCGGAATAATCCATCTCATCTTCATTTGAATCATCATCATTGATCACTTGGGTTTGTTTAGCTTCTTCCAATTCACCCATTTTCTTGACCCATTGAAGAGTGTATTTATTAAAATCACAACTGAAAATAACAATATTTCTGTAGAACTTGAGGTAAGTTATTAACATAATAAAAAAAAATGTTATATTTACATTTTACTAAGTGCATCATATTTTCTCAGCAAACTTTTTTCTAAAGCAACTAATGTCTCAGGCAAAATAGTTCCACGGTCACGAGGTCCTAACATTTCCAGAAAGGCTGTTGTCCATCGCAGGTAAAATTGAATGTGTGTTGTTCCCTCAAGCGTTTTGGAAATGAACTTCAAAGCACGCTTTGCATATTCTTGAGGTAGCGAGTTTGCAGTGATTTCAACTGCAAATATAATAAAAATCAAATATAATCAAATTAAATTGAAACGCAACAAATAATATAAATTATATGCAATTTTAAGATCAATAGAAGAAAAGATGACTAGTAAAATATTTTTCAATATTTCAATAATAATACAAAATAATCTATAATTGCAACGTACTGTCAGCATAAGGTATTTGTTCAATTATCTCGTGTATAAGTGCAAGTTCATTAAGTCTCAATGCCATAATTAATGCCATAGAATATTGTTGTTCCTTAAGACAATTTCTTGCTGCTTCAGGGGTTGTTCCAAGATCCAATAAAAATGGGTCAAAAACAAAAGCATTATCTAGAGAATAAAGCAACAACCCTTCAGTTGTACAAGCAGCCCAGGAATGACCAGCTGGTGAAAATTGTAAGCATAAAACTCGTACCTATAAAAAAATAAAATACTTATATAAACATCAACATTATTCATATATATAAATACATTTCAAAGTATACTTTATATAAAACTAGCAAACCCGACGAACTCCGTTTCGCCACCAGATGGTTTCGTGAGAAAGATGAAGAAGTTTTTTATTTGTTTTATATTTGAAAAGGAAAAATTTGATTTTATTACACAACAGTAATGAATTTATTTCGGTTACAAAAATGAAGTGTTTGTTAGTTGAACTTCTCTAAGTAAATAAAAGTGAATCCGCCAATTATACGTTTCATTGAAGTGCTCTTTGTTTAACCACATTTTTTGTTTTTTGGTCTGCCTTTAACACAAACAAAGCGGATGGTTTGTCAACTCGTGAATAGGCAACGTATAACTGTCCATGTGAAAAACAATGATTTTCTAAATAATCTATTTGAAATTTATCCCGCAAACACTAAGCGATTGGCCTTGCGACTTGTTATTGCGAACGCAAGGCGAACTGGAAATTGCAATCGTTTGAAGTCAAACGGAAAACCAGTCGGAATTATTGGTATGTCACCAAATCCCCAGCAACTTTTGATTGAATGGTGAAATTCAGTGCGTATACATCATTATTCTTTGCGGCAAAAATTGCTAGTTGACTTAACCAAGCATAATTCTGATAATTCTCACTAATGTCATTACTCGAAATTTTAATTACTGTGCGTGAAATTCCAGCAATTTGCATTAGGGCACGATGCCATGCACCACTAATTTTCTTAGCTATAAACCTTGCGGAGCCCGAGACCTTTCCAACGAATGCAAAATTATCAAAATCGGTTCGTGCGTTCTGGAGTTATTTCGTCAGGAAGGAAAACCCGACTTATTTTTATATATATAGAAGATTATAGATAATAATTCAATTTTAATCCTACCTCAGGTTTCACTGTTCTTGAGGCCATATCACCACTTTTCACACCAGGCAGTTTTATAGTTACATTTCCACCTTCTGATATTTCTCTTTCTTCAATTAATGCAATATTACCAAATTCTGTCATTTTTCGTCGATTAATGAAATCCTACAAGTGTTTTATTTAATTAATTAATCAATCAATAACCAATAAATTTTGAACAAACTTCAAAAATGTAGTATAAAACAAGACTTACATCCACAGCATCAAAAGACCTATTTTGTGTTATTTGGAATTTCTTTAATAAAATTCCTTCCTGCACATTATATATACAAACATTTTTAGATTGGCCTCCGGCCAATATGCACTCGCCGTCGGCGGAGTAACATAAGGAAGTAAAAGCTCTAAAAACAATAAAAAAGAACATTTAAATTACTCATATATATTTATAATCATATTGTAAAATAATTGGATATCACAATTTTAACTTACTTTCCCTTCAAACTCTGCTTGGCTGTAACAAGATCCGTTTCTGTTCGACCAGAACCTAAATCATTCCTGCCTTCTATACTATGAGTTTGTGAACCACTTTTTACATGAAACATAGTTATCTGCCCATCTAATGTTGCAACTGCAATCTATAAATAAAAGTCACTACATGTAAAAATTGAATTTTATACTGCACTTATTATTAGATCAGCTAAGAAATAAATTTTTAGCCGAATATCGAAATTGAGTCGCATTTTTTAGATTAGCAAATAAGGAGCGCTTTTACTGTATATTCTTACTTCTTCTCCATCAGGCCTAAAAGTGACGCACAACGCATCAGAGCCAAGTATAATCGGTTCATTTTGAGCACTGCTTTCCAGTGCGTCCCATACACGAATCGTTCCATCCCATGAACATGATACAAGACATGATGAACCAGGACTTGGAGAAAAGCTTATACTAACCTGGAAATCGATCGATAATTAAATACTTAAATATTATGTTAAAATTGTTTTTTTGTCTCAGCAGTACACTCGAAAAACAAATAAGTTGAGTCCTATCACATAACATTTATTTATTAAACTTTAAATTATTACTTACAACAGGTCCTTCGTGACCACTAAGTACTTCCAATAATCTGCCCATTTTCATACTCCACAGATAAAGTTCAAAAATATCTTGGCCTCCAGCGCAAACCAATTCACCAGAAGAGTCTACAGCCACACAAGAAAACTGCACGGGGCGCGATGGTGAGGTAAATGTTCGGAAATTGCGATATCTATTTATAAATTTTCATTATTAATTTTAATATATCACTTAATTTCATTTAATTACATTTATTACACCTTTCCAGAGTGTAATAGTTATTATCAGGGCCGGTCCTGGAGTCCTCAGCGCCCGTATGCAATTTTTTTTTCTAGCGTCCCCGCCCCTCATTTTAACTGTTTTAACATCTTTACTTTCCCATCAGATTGTTGTTTTAAAGTTAAATTTTTAACGTGTTTTAAAAGATATAAATATAAATAATACATAGTAAATTTTATTTCCGAATCTCGTTTTGGCGCCCCCTAATGCGTGCGCAGCATTTTTCGCATGCATTGCATTCAAAGTAGGACCGGCCCTGGTTCTTATCCATTTGATAGCGTACTTGATCTTTTTTAACTTCGCGTACAGTAAGTTAAATTAATCGCAAAAAAATCGAAAATTAAATTTTTTATATATCTTTACGTTTCAAAGGTTTTCGAATATTTTGGCATGCCTCAGAAAAAATGGATGTATGTGTGTGTGTGTGCGTGTGTGCGAATACAAATTTTCGTTGACGATTCCGGAAACACCGATCAACCGATTTGAATAATTCAAGAAACATTCGATTCGTATTGACAAGGAGACGTGCTGAATAGTTTTTGGCGAAGGCAAGTTAGCCGTTCTGAAGATACACACATACATCCATTTTTTCTAAAGTATGCCAAAATATTCAAAAACCTTTGAAAAGTAAATTCATATAAAAATTTTCATTTTCGATTTTTTTGCGATTACTATAACTTACCCTAAGGGAAGTTAAAATTCATAATTTATGTGTTGTATATTACTTCTTAAAACAGTTGATAAATATTACAATATTTAATATAAAATAATGATATGTTGCATATTTTTTTGAATTCTTGGATTATAACCCCTTTCTGTACTAGTTCTTTATCCCCTATAACATGTATTCGCATAACAAACTAGATTTTTGGAAGGTAACTGCAGTGTTTTAAGGGGGGTTATCTGTACATTAATAATAAAACTTAAATCCCATTCAAATGTAATATTTACCTCGTCATATCAAAAGCACGTACAGTACCATCCAATGATGAGCTGATGAAACATTTCTTGCTGAATTGAACTTGTGTTATTGCACTCGTGTGTTCACTGAAAGTAATAACACAAAATCCAGTTGATGTATTCCAAAGCTTTAATTTTCCATCTAGTCCACCAGTGACTATAAATTCAGAATCTGGAGAATAACTCAAACAAGTCATATTTGAAGAGTGTCCTTGTTGTTTCATTACATATTGTTCACCTAAGAGTTAAAAATATGAATTTAATTCAATTTTTGAAAACATGCAATGTATATTTTGATTTCATCACAATAGCACTTACATTGCCATTCCCAGACCAGTAATTGACCAACACCAGAGCATCCGAGTGCTATCCAATCTCCCGTATTATTTATGCTCAATGCTGTAATATTTTGTTGTGATATGCTAAGCGAGTGGATCATGTTGACTTCAGGCATCTCATGTAAGAAAAATGACCCATTGGAGAAACCTGTAATGTATTACATTTTTTTAAATTTAATATTAATTTCAGTAAATCTAAATAATAATTTATTAACTTCCAGTAGGGCATTTTATAGTAATCGCAAAAAAATCGGCAATGAAAATTTTCATATATCTTTACGTTTCAGACGTTTCTGAACATTTTGGCATACCTTAGAAAAAATTGATGTATGTGTGTGTGTGCGGATACAAATTTTCGTCGACAATTTCGGGAACATTCGGTACAGGGCAAAAAGTGCCAAAAACGGTAACTCAGTTTTTAAGAGAACGGAGCGTCCGATTTTAATAACTCGAAAAACATTTTTTGGCAAGATGAAAAACTGATTATATTTTTGGGAAGGCAGGTCTAGCGATTTCGGAGATCTGATATAAAAAGTAAAAGAAAATGCCATTTTGAGGTCAAAATGATCATTAGACATATGCACATCCAATTATCAGATATTTTATGGAGATTTTAATAATGTGTATCAATTTTGTTTACATTTCTATGGGTTTCGTAACATCGTTTGTCCGTTAGACGGCGACGCGACGCTTACGCGCTTCGATACTGCGTTTCTATGCAGCTAAAGCAGTGCGATTGGCTTTGAAAAAAAGTAATTTTTTTTCAAAAATTTTAAATTTCTCAAAAACCTAATTTTTTCAAAGTTCCAGCTAACCACTAGTTTATTTATATTATTACCTGTAACTAAAATCTTTGTCTTTTTATGGTATGTTGCAGCTGTTAATACAGCATTTTTATCCTCCTTTCTTACTTCATCAGCTAAATAATGTCTGGAATGTCTTCGATAAAAGAAACTATGCTTCTGATCATCTGTTTTCAATATAATCTAAAACAAATGCTTGATATTTAATACATATGCTTATATAATAGAAAAATATTTTGTAATTTCATATTTTTATCATAATATCTTCAATTAATATGTGTAAACAAAATTTCTACCTTTCCTTGATCATCCCTTTCTTGAACAGTCTCATCTTCTACGAATTCAGTAATTTTCTCTTGATTATTCATGTTATTTGATTCTTTAGATTGAGATTTCTCAATTGATTCTTCGGGACCATCATCTTCTACATCTTCTTCATCAACTCTAGCTTTTTTATTGATGCATCTTCCTCAAAAGGAACTAAAGACGTAAGTTTGATATTGCAATCCCACATACACACCTGTTAAAGATAAATATTTCAAATTCATAATTGTAAGGATTTAAACAATTCAGTATATGTTAAATTCAAATATATATTACTTGTCCATTGCGTGATATGGTGATAAGATCAAGACTATTTTCTTCAAAAAAGCATGCAACAATGATGTCGGTGTGAGAACCCAATGAAAATGGCCTAAAGTTTTTGTATTTTTTCAAACTATATATTCTAGTAGACATGTCTTTTGAGCCGACAGCCAATATTTCTGAATTTTGAGCCCATTCAATGCATGTTGTTGCATCAAATGAACCATGGAAAACTCTTTCCATTGCGAATGCATTGACTTCTCCACTGTATGGCCCTGGAGCTTTGAATATAAACACTAAAACATAAAAATAGGTGAAATTATATACAACTTTAAATTGAATTGATTGATTAGTGCTGCTTACATACCATTGTTTTCTTTACAAGCTGCAAGATGTTTGCCATCAGGGCTAAATTTAATCGCTGGTACTGGTCTTTTGAAATGATACTTGTGTACAACAGTCCTTGATATTAAACTAATAAAATAAGCCTCACCATCTACATTAGAAACAAAAATTCATAAACTTTTTCTCATTCGGTGATAAAGTATATTATTACCTTCATTCACTGCAACTAAGGCATTGCCGTTGGGGGATAAATCTAATGAGACATAATTAAATCGACTTTCAATCGCAAGTGTTGATGACTTGTTACTAGAATATTAATTTATATTATTTATATTATATAAATATTAATTTATATTATTATATTATATATATATATATATATATATATATATATGTTTGTGTGTTAACTATTTATATATTTGTAACAGGGATTAAAAAAAACTTACTTTTTCAAATCAAAAATAGTGATTCTGTTACCGACAGGACTAATTACAGAATATCCATCTGGAGTGAACTTTAAATCTCCTTGTCTATAAACTGTTCCCAGTAAATTACTAAACTGTAATAAATAATTATTAATAGAAACAGCACTTTGTGATAGTTGATATACATAAAATTAGTATAAATCACACATCATGATAATTAACTAAGAGCAATAATCAAAAATCTATTATTTTTATTCACCTTATATGCAAACTTCATTTTATTATTTATTTACTAACAAACATAACTTGTAAATAACATTATTTTATATTTACTGTAAAACGTGCAAATGTAAAAGTTTTTAGGTTAGAAAGCGTGCAACTATGAAAGAGATGATATTTCCATCTATCGAATATTTGGCGTAAACATTATAGTTTGGAAACATGATTAACTGCCAAATGGCGTTTTGTTTACTTTTTTTCTGAATTTCCAAAACCGCTGGACCTGCCTTCCTAAAAAATTTAACCAGATTATCATTTAAATTCGACTCTCAGTTTTCTCACAAAACTGAATGTCCATTTTTTATCCATTATCTTCTTTTATCCATTATCCGGGACGTGGTCTGAATCTGCTTCTGCCAAAAACTAATCAGCAGGTCACCCCATCAATGAATTATACAAATCGGTTGATCCATGCTTTCGGAATCGTTGACGAATATTTGTATCCGCACATACACACACATACATGCATTCTATCTAAGGTATGTCAAAATGTTCAGAGACCTTTGAAGCGTATTTTAAAAAAAAAAATCATTTTCGATTTTTTGAGATTACTATAAATTACACTACGGGAAGTTAACAAATCGGAATGATAATATCTTATTATAATTTGTAAAATGTAATTCTTACATTTCTTGCAGCATTTTATTTACTTTTTTGCTGAATTTTCGAATTTTTGGTTTTTCTCACAAACTGAATGGCCATTTTTTGCACAGTATCTTCAATCGGGTTAGATATACTACGGGAAGTTAACAAATCGGGCTTTCTGGTAATGACATAATTTTTTTCTTCAGGAAGCTCAGAATAATAATAGCTTATTAATATTTGTGAAATGTATTTCTTACATTTCTTGCAGCATTTTACTGTCTTTTTTCTGAATTTTTGAAACCGCTTTCTTAAAAATTTAACCAATTCTTCACTCCATCATTTAGAATTTTTCGTTTCATTGTTTTTGAATCATTTAAATTCGACCCTCGGTTCTCTTACAAACTAAATGGTCATTGTTCTCCCAGTATCTTCAAATCGACTGGATATGGTCTGAATCTGCTTGTGCCAAAAACTAATCAGCACGTCTCCCCATCAATAGCAATCGAATGTTTTTTGAATCATTCAAATCGGTTGATCCGTTCTCTTGGAATCGCTCATACAGGGTCGGTCCTACCTTCAGTGCAATGCATGTGAAAAATGCGAGCGCACGCCTTAGGGGGCGCCAACGCCGAGATTCGGATATGAAATCGCATAAAACCCCAAAATAAATAAATAAATAATTTCAAAACCCAAATAATAAAAATACATATTACACATGCGTTAGAAATAATCGAAAATTTAAGAATATTCTTGCTAGTAATAATGAACATACTGAAATTTTTGGCTGTCCTAAAAAGTTTAGATTGAAAATAAGAATTCAAAAATAGTTCGGTCGTGCGACAACGATAGAAGACACAATAAATTGATTAGGAGCACCCGCGAAATAAATATATTTTTTGTGCTTTTAGATTATATCTATTTTTTGTGTACTAAATTTAGAATTATTAAAAATTATTTTTAAAAAGTTAGCGTAAATAATTACATAATTTTAATAATCAACTGTTAAAAAGGTTAAAATAATGGGGAGGAGGTAGGAAACTAGGAAAAAATGACATGTGGACGCTGAGAACTCCAGGACCGGTCCTGCAACCATCCATTTTTTCTATGCCAAAATGTTCAAAAACTTTTGAAACGTGAAGATATTTAAAAAAAAATCTTTGCTATTACTATAATTTTACTCTACGCGGGAAGATAACCGATCGGGTTTTCTGGTAAAAACTGGATATTTTTCCCCTTCGGGAAACTCAGAATGATAATAGCTTATTATAATGTGTATAATGTGTTTCTTACATTTCTTGCAGCATTTAAATGCGCATTTTTAAATTCATTTATTTATAAACTTCTAAAACATAATGCATAGTAGTAGTAGATAAAGGAGTAATGGACGCAGTCAATCAAAACGTCGAACTGCAGAATCTAAATTTAGTGCAAAGTTAGGCTTCATAATAATCGATTGATTGGTTTACACGTGTTGTAAAACTATATGACATGTTCATTTACATACATGAATTGAGTCAATTAAAAATGTATTCAATAAAACGAATAAATAGGAACAATTTCTGGACTTGTTGTCATTTCTGAACCGCTGATGGAACATCAATTTCCACCTTATATCTTGATGAACATAATTAAAAGTGTACTATTTTTAGTTTGCAGCAAAATAAAAGTAATATGAAGTTTTGCCTTGTCCTTTGTACATATATCATCCATATCATGTCCGACTTATTATATGCATACATCCACAAGGTACTAAGGAACTATACCAATCATATACCAATTTATATTTTTGATACCAGTTATTACTTTCACGTGAGCAACAAATAAATTCGTTTGCCGATCAATTAAAAATTCATTCATAGATTTTCCACATCGCAATTGATTTTGTGAAATACACCTCAAGGTGCTCAATTAAAAAGTTTTCCAATTATAAAGCAATTATCTGCGAACGAATTTAAGCGTGAATTGTTTGAGCAACAAAACTTTTAGCCCGTTGTGAGGTATCGACCATACCACCACTTGTAAGTAATCAAAAACCATTATATTCCGCGCTATTATTACAAGCACTTTATGAATAGAGCATATTTTACCTTTAAAAGAACTCATATTTCAGTCTGAAGCAAAGTCCGACGAAGGGCACTTATTTTTCGTAGCTTCATTCATATCTGCTTTATTTTAATACAAATATTTGAATACAGTTGATATTTGTGGTATAAGCTTAAACTCTAATTTTATAAAAGTAAGTGCGAATATAAGTCTAGTGCAGAATATTATAGAATGTATTTTTACATATTTTTTCAATTATCAATAATTATTGTATAGTCATTATTATATGCATTGATATAAGTAAAAGCTGCAAAGCACAACATCGTGTGCAATTTCATGAACAAATGTGCATTTCTATTTTTCACATTTTATGTCTTTACTTATATACATCATGTCATAAGAAATAATCTTCATATTATTTTTTTTAAAATAAAGTTTGATCTAACTTATGTACAATCTTGCACTTTGTAGTTGCAGTATTGTGATAAGCTTATTAGTAAGCACATTTTTATTTTTTTTATCAATCAAATTAATATATTTATAAATTATAATAATTTTAATTATAATAATTATAGTTAATATTTATGGGCCTATTAATACTAGTGGAAATGTGTATGTGACGAAATTTATTAGAAATTTGATATTGCATTTTTATCTAGTTTCTTCTCATTATGAAATTTCATCGAATTTAACTATATTGTAGAAATATTAGAATGAAGTCTAGTGAGTTATAGAAATTATGATTATAATTGAAAATTTTATGGGTCATTAACTATTACTGAGATTATGTAAAGAGAAATTTATTAGAAATACTAAATTACTTGAAATTATTAAATTAGTAGAACAACGGGTAGAAGATAAATCTGATTGCTAGAGTAATTTTTGTATTTATATTATCAAATAGGATATGTTCTATTTGATAAACATACTGTACTTGTTCTTTTTTTGTTAAAAAAATGCTAACGTCTTCAAATGAATTTAGACTTTTTTGACTATTTAGTTATATTCTATCTACAGAAACTATGGATGAAGATACGAGTGAAGAACCCGCCAAAATGATATGTGAGATAAAAGGGCAGTCTATTCCAAGTTTATCATTTACCAAGAATAATACTTCAAACCTCGTAAACAACGATACCAGGCCAAAAGATATAGTTCCACCTATTACAAGGGTACGAAAAGGTACG